GTTTGGAATGATAGGATAGTGTATGCCTTCCTCAACCAAAGGAAACAGAACTCATCCAGTCTGCAATTATGAACATTCAACCTCACTCCCCAACCAAATGAATAATGGGGAGGTCATGGAAAAATTGTGCTGAATCAAGGACCCAGGATGGGACTACTCTACATTCGGAATTATGAAGAGATAGTGGACCCCCTTCCATGAACAATGTACTGAACCAATATTGATCAAAAGGAGTAGGCTCCCATGTAGGCTGGTGCTTCTCCTACCAACACTTGGGGAAAAAAACATCCAGGGACCCGGGTAAGAGGGCTCCTAACTTCACCCTCTTCTCCGAGAGTGGAGGAATTCATTCTAACACTCTGGAGGAAAAGTCTCTGACCACCACCCCCGGTGGCTGGAAACTGGATGTGGTAAGAACTCCCTAGCTCCACTAGTAGAATCTGGGGGTAATGTGCATTGGAAAGCCCTGAGGAACAGTGCTCTGGAAACAGTGCAATAGGTGAACCAAGTTTCCTAAATTTGTACAACCAAACTGACCCTAATTAATTTTATCCGATGATCAGCAGGAAAGGCAGGATCCTCTTTAGCTTTACTCATGATAGTCAATGAGTGGTGGTCGAGCATAGTATGGTAATACCACCTGGTGAACTCTTAGGTGGTCTTATGAAACACCTCATTTCTACAGAGCCTGTTGCAATTGGTAGTAATTATCATGAAATAGTTGTTGCTAGTGCAGAATTGGTTTGATAAAAACACACCTGCTTAGGCAACACTCACATACCACTCTGTACAATGACTTCTAGCTAGCAATTCGACCGGGTTGCTGAGGGCATAGAAAAGAGAAATCTGATTAAATGTGATTCACAGAAGCTATCACTCCTTCATAGAGAGCCCAGAATAAAAAGAGTTGTCTAGCATCTCTAAAGGTACAAGTTCAGACAATAAAACCCTCAAGACCAACACTGAACATGACCGAGATCGAAATCTGATTCTACATAGAGAGAAAGAGTGAGCAGATGAATTGGAGAAAAGGATTAAACCCATTTCCATTCTGACAAAATGCTGGGTAAGAAGAACTGGTCTGAGGACGTAGAGAGAATGAGAAAGTGGTCTATGGACAAACAGCACAAATCACTCTGACCAGTGATATCTGTAGGTCAGCAACAACAAAAAATAAACCTGCAAGTAAAGAGGATACATGGTATATAAGAGTCAAGTCACAAATAGGTGTAGAGAAAGAACATGTAACCTTAATCTACCTAGCAGGTAACTGGCAATTGTGGAACATGCAAAAACCTTTGTCAAAGAGCCATGTCAAAAAACGAGTTATGGTTGACACCACTGATTGAAAAGGATTCAATCTCCTCTCAATACAGTATTGCTAATATGCATGTCATTTGCATTGAAAAGTGTCTTTTGGACTAAGTAGAAACTGAGACAGAAACATTCCAACCTTAGAAATTAAACGTCAATGCTACATGATAAAACAGCATAAGCTCTATGCCAGAAGCTTGAGCTTCTGGATAGCCAGGTGTACCATATCAGATCATGGCTGTCTCCACAGCAAGAACCTAAAAAAGAAGTGGAAGAGTTGGACACACTGGAAGAGACTACATAAACATAAACCTGGGTGTAGCAGCCAATTTGGTGATATCAACAGGATCTGACAATGGGTTGAAACAAATCATATTTCTTACTCTGGGAAACATATTAAGCGAAGAGAAGGCTTAGAGTGGTAATCCAGTCATGTCCAGATACGAAGAAACTATTGCCAAAGCCCAAATATGAGGTACTGGAGATCAAATTGCCAGTAGTTGGGTGATACAATGAGAGGCTAACCCACCAATTAGAGTTGCAAAATAAGAGCCAATCCAACAGAACCTTGCGATACAAATCTATTCTGTTGGGAAAATCTTTTTGGATTGAGACAATGGACTTTCTACCAGAGGCATCACCCATGGAACATGGCAAGCTAAAAGGGTGATAAGATAGGACTAGTCCTGAGTATGTCATTAGTCTGGGGATTTTTTATTTTTCTTCTCATCTCTCAGTCAGGCTCAGCTGTCTCCCATCCTACTCAACATTATAGACAAGGACGCCAGACTCTTACTCACTTCTCCTTCTCCCAGTCCACAGATTGTTCTTTAATCTTTTGGGAATGTCAGCATCACTCGAATCCTTCGTGTCTTTGGGATAAGAACACAAGCAATCCTTTTATTTGGATCATATTTACTAGTTTCCTCAGTCGGGATCATTATTCAATTTTGAGAGGTTGTTAAGTTGGGACATTACTACAACTTAAGTTCCTCTACTGCCAACTTGTCCAGAATTCCATTCTCTTCATGAATGCCTTGCTTCAGGGATGCCATGCATATACCAACAGTTAGGAATTCCAGAGTCCATGCATAGATGACGAGGATTCCCGACACAATGTTTTCATCCTTCTTGCTCTTGAACAGGTAAGGCCTCATGGTATAGGTTTCTTAAGGGGTAAATTGTCTGGCTTCCCTCTGACCATTCCGTGATGGTGTCTTATGTTTCTCATCCAGAAGGCATGTGGTCTAGGGTTCCTTATTTTCGAATTTTGGACCTCCTTTTTGAATTGGATCAAGAATAGATATCACAGTCTCGAAAGGGATCCTGCTTGGGTTGTATCTGAAAGGAGAATCAGGATGCGATGGTCTAATAATTGACAAGATGGTTTCAGCAGTAACCAGTCATCCAAGGAATGGTGTGTGGACAGTACAATGGAAAGAAGGGAATGAGAAAAAAATCGTACGAAACGACAGAACCCATGTTAAGACTATGCAAGTCTGATGGGAAGAACCCGAAACTGCAGAACCTGACCCTCGTGCACCACAAATTCCACGAGTGGTGGGACTCCACCACTAAGGCAAAGTGCAAATAGGAGCCAACTACAACCAAGTTGGACATCTACAATCCCAGTAAAAAAAAACAGATTGAGGAATGAGTAACTTGTGAACATTGGAGAATATAGGCATTGATATAGACAAGGAAGATCGATGACTGGACACCAATTCTCCTGTTTGCATAGGCACAACAACTGACAGAAACAAAAACTCTGAAGAACTAACCTGACTCTCACACTACTCCCAGAACAACCAAACAAAGAGAACCCTAAAACTAAGTTCCAAGTCCTGATGAACTGCAGTAGATAGAAACCCTACAGGTTGGGTGGATAATAGTGGGGAAGATATGAACTGAAGAACCAATTGTGACCCAAGAACCTGCAGATCTCCTGAACCTATGATTAAGGTTACCACACGTCCAGAAATTCTTGGAACTGAGCCTCCACATCCCCTGAAGGTATACAATAATCACCAATGCTACTAGCAATTGGAATAAGCAGTGGAAACCTTGTATACAGATAGAATCTATTCTGAGTACCAATATACCAAGAGACTGATGTTGGGGTTCGGGATTCATGAATAGGGGCAGAACTATGACCCCCTGTAGGAGCCAATGAGATTTGAGACTCGAACAACAACTGGGGGAATGTAGAAGCCAAAAATTGAACCGATGTACAAGCTAACAAGGGATCCAGCTCGTCATCAACGAAGCTGGTGATCCTGAGAGTCTTCTAACAAAGTGAAGTGAAAGGAAACAAAATGTTGAATTTAAGTCGTAAGTCTGTAGACTTACCCTGTCCCATCAGGGAACATACACCTATATAGGTGAACTGCAGACTTTGCCTCAGAACTCCAAAATTCGAGGAGCAGATATATTATTTGAGAGTCAGAAAAATGATTTCGTCTGGTGTTCGTAGGTTAAATCATGAAGATCTGACAATGTGTCAGATAAAGCTTAACTGTCCCTCCACGTAACTGAGAAGTAAACTTTCTAGCATGAAAACTAAAATTTCACCACCAGACCTTTCTGCCACCAAGTAAGTTGCAGGCTCATAGCAACCAGGCAAAAGCCCAAAACATTACACACTGGAAGAACCAACAGAAGAAAAACAAATCAAAGGCAGCTTATCCTAAAGTGGCCTCCTTTTCATCATATAAAGACTCTGTTGATTACCATTGATTGGAACAGTATTTTTTAACATAACGTAAGTTGTTTTGTTAGAGCAAAGGAACTACAGACCATCTACTGCTTCCACCTGACGGAATCGAATCTCAAACCCCCGCGTTCCAAGTCCATAAAATTATCACTGCCCTACAGGGTGGCTGAAAATCCAACAGACTAATATAAGGCACAGGAAAAAGCAAACCTAAAGTCTGACCAAAATGTTGATGATTGCCCTCAATTGCAGCCTCACAGACCCCCTGGAGGACCAACACAAACCCGAACATATGTCTCCATCTCACCACAAATAAAATCATTGACAATCTCAACCGAGAGTGACCCCCCCCCCCCGATTGTTGTGCAATGCTAGATATCAGAGGTGGGAGAGGAGAGACCCAATTTGCCT